ACAAAAATTTCACTCACTGTTTTTTAAAAAATTATAAAAAGCAAATCTCGTCATCATCGTCACAAATTAACATAAAGATTCAAAGACATATTCAGTGACAAATTTATCACCGATATACACATTCACATAAATTCCTCACTGACTATTTGTTCAAAAATTACAAAAAGAAAATCTCATTAGCATCGTAACAAATCAACATAAGAATCAAAGACATACATCAGTGATAAATTTATCACTAATATATTAAACCCTTGTTTGCAACAGATTTGGTTTAAGAGAAATAAAGAGAGAGAGAAGGAGAAAATGAGAGGCGAGATTTAGAGAATCAATCATCATGTTTGGTTCTATTTTTTTGAATTATTTTTTTAAAAAGTGATTTGAAAACTCAATTTTGAAAAAGAATCTTTATTTGGTTTTCAAAAAAATGTATTATTGCAAATTCAAGTTTTCCTAAAAAAGGAAAAAAAAAACAGTTTAAAAAAAAAAAAAAAAAAATAGGGAATACCTACGGTAAGAGAAAATCACAAACTTGTGGGGTTCGTTTGGTTTGTATTTCTGAAAAATTTTTGGAAAATTTTCTCTACAAATAAGTTTTTAAAAGTAATCAAACCAAACAAATTTTCCCAAAAAAATTTCTCAAAACTTGTAAACCAAACAAGTTTTCCAAACAAATCTCTCTCCCACACACATCAAATCAATCACTTTTTTCAAAACTCTCTCTCAAAATAATTTTCCAAATATCTTTTGAAAAAAATCAAACTAAACAATTTTTCATACTTTTTATCTCTAAAACACATCTCTCAAACACAAACCAAACATACCCATTGTGTTTTTCTCTCTCTCTAGCCGTTCTTATCCGGGTAAGGTTGGTTGGTACTCGTTCCAAGGGCATCCATAAGTGCGGCAAATATCTCACCCCACCTTCGCAGATAATATTATATTTATTTTCATTTTGACGTTAAATTATTATTAACATGGCACTCGTGCTATGCACGAGGTAAAATAATATATTATTTAATAAAAAATATAATAATTATATTTAATTTTTTATATTTTATCAAATAAAAGTTAAATAGAAATTAGTCAATTAAATTTTTTTTAATTGTTTAAAATTAAAAAAATTAGTATAAGATATTAATCATAAGACTTGTCACTAAAAATCTCATTTTGCTTATATAAATAGAAGCATAAGATTCACTTTATGTAAATGAAACATTACATTTTTTTCTTTTTTTCTCGATTTGAGATTTTAAAATAAAAGGTAAATGGAAGCTAACCAATGAGAAATTTCTTAATTGTTTAAAATTAAGAAAATTTAATAATTTTAAAATGAGGGTTTGGAATTTCTAAAAGGCTTCTCCTTTAAAACTTCTTTTAAAAGATTCATTTTATATAAGCGAAACAATTCACTTTTTTTTTTCTTTTCTCGATGTGGGATTGTAACACTTTATATAAGTGAAACATCTCATTTTTTCTTTCTTTTCTCGATATGAGATTTTAATTATTTTAAAATTAAATATTATGAGAGTTTCAAAATCTCATACAAAATTATTTTTGAAATCAAAACTATGTGGGATTGTAAAATAAAAGTTAAATAAAAGCTAGTCAATGAGAATTTTTTTAATTAGTTAAAATTAAAAAAAATCAAAAAAATGAGTATGAAATATTGTTCTTAGGGCTTCTCACTAAAAATCTCATTTTGCTTATATAAATGAGAGTATAAGATTCATTTTATATAAGTGAAATAATTCACTTTTTCTTTCTTTTTCCAATGTGGGATTGTAAAATAAAAGATAAATGGAAGCTAGCCAACAGAAATTTTTTTAATTGTTTAAAATTAAGAAAATTCAATAATTTTAGAATAAGAGTTTGGAGTTTCTAGAAGGTTTCTCCTTAAAAATTTCATTTTTCTTGTATAATAGATAGATAGATAGTGAAACAAACTTTGTCTTTTTTTCTTCTCCCGATGTAGGATTATAAAATAAATCATAAACTAATTAGAATTTTATTTTTATATGGTTAAATGAAAGTTAGCCAATAAAATATTTTTTAATTCTTTAAAATTAGTAAAATCAATATGAGAAATCTTGATTAAATCGACTAATTGGTCAAACCCAAAATGGTTCAGCCTAATTGATTAGGTCAATAACCAGCCAACTTATACAAAAATTAATTAATTAAAACTTTTATTTGTTATGTTAATTTTAAAATTTAAACTGTCTTCAATTGAAGTATACACAATACTACACTATTAAGATTCACTTTATACATAGCGTTTCTGGTTTAGACACTATCCATTTTGTATTATGGACTCGGGATTTATAACCTCGTATGGTTGTTCATGTCTTTTTCCCCTTATTCTTCCTTAAACTCGATTGTTGGAATGTAGTTGTTGTGTTTGGAACAGGTTAGTTACTTGATTTTCAAATCTTTGTTGCCCAGATTTTTGCTCCTCCACTCGAGCGGCACTTCTTGCGCTTGAGCGAGTTTTGCAAACTTTCAGTACTTTTACAGGTCTGCAAAACTACTGGGAGAGTGTATTTTACGCTCGAGCGGCTTTACCTACGCTCGAGCGGGTATACGCTCGAGTGGAAATTCTTGCGCTCGAGCGATGTTCTTCTGTTTGCAAAACTACTGGATGTGTGTATTCTGCGCTCTAGTGGCCATTTCTTGCGCTCGAACGGAACAACTTATTGTGTTTGATGCTCGAGTGTCAACTCTTGCGCTTGAGCGGATTATGTGTATATCAGTTTGCAGCAGCACCTTTTTACATCACTTTTTCATATCTTTTTCCATTAAAACCCTAGATCAAGACTCTCTCTTTCTAAAACTCACATTCTCTCTACATTTTTATTTAGATTTAGTGATCTCTCTGCAGGTGTGCCTTCGTTAAAAAGGTAGAGCACCTCAAGGGCATCGTTTTGATTCGAATAGACTTTGGTTTTGGCATCTTTAGAGTTCCTTCATTACTTTGCTTGTATTCTCTCTTTGAGGTAGGGACTCTTTACACTCTCTATCAGTTTTAACTTGGTCATTTTCTTAATGTGTGAGAAATATTGGTTGTGAAGTAATTTTAACAAACCTAGGGTTTGGGTTTTCAATTCCAAAGAAAGGCTTTATAATAGATGTCTTAGAAATGGTTATGGGAATGGATATGACCTTGGGTTATGCTATAAGCGGTTGATTTTTGGTGATGGGGATGAGATTGGAAAAATGAGAGTTTTGCCCAAAAATGTTCAAGTAATTATTTTGCATAAATAATGAAATTGGAAATAGGAATATAAAATTAGATGAATGGTTATATAAATGGTGAAGTTGGATGTGTATCACTACCCATCTATGGAAATTTGAATAATTTATCTATTGAGAAGATTATATATCTATTTAGAAATATTTGTTTTGGGCTATCGGTGGAGGATGACTATGATTGTTGTAGAAATTGCATGAGGATTAGGTAAATTGAAACCAATCTATTATTGATTATCATTGAATATGATTGTGTAATACATTGTATATGTATGGTGTTTGTGAGGAGAAATATGATGTATTCCATGTTTGGGAGGAGAAAGGGGATGGACTCCATGAATTAAGTTGGCTTGTGCGTTTAGGGTGAAAGTCCTAAAAACATTGTGTATACATGGATGTCGATTCCCGTAGGCGAAATTTCTGTAAAATGGCAAATTGAAGTGTTTGTGTGTAATGTTTGTGTGGTAAGAAAATCACTGAGTTGTAATCTGAGTTGGGTTGTCTGGATAACAATGGATATGACTCATGAATTGAGGAGATATGAAATGACATGAAACAAATTGATATAAAATAAATTGGGATATCATACTTGACGTAATATGGATTTGGGAAGAAGAGTTGTAAATGATTTTATTTTGAGCATTGACCATGTGCATCATGTTTATAACCTTGTTAAAG